GCACTGCCAAAGAACTTTGTCCCTGAACTAGCAGAGAAGCATGCAGGAGCTGCAGAAAGGCACGATTCAAAATAGGGAAAGCTCTGGGAAACCCATTGACTCCCTGGAGTATAGTTGCAACTGGTAGGTTCCCTAGGGTGGGGGTCAAAGTTTGTCAGAGAGACTATTTGAAATGAGTTAAGAAAAATCTGATTCCAGACCCAGAGAACAGCACCAGTTGGCCTGCTGAGGCTCAACTCTTCTGGTTAGACCCAGGGACATGGTGGTTATGTGGAGACAATACCACCAAAGAAGTACAGACTTTAAGATGCTTACACGTAACCAGCTTATATGGGCACTGCACTGTAGGATGGTTGAGATCTGAAAATTATGATTCTCAGATTTATATGAACTTATCTTATACCATGTCTGCTAATGCTACTCATTGAGACCTTGGATCCAGAGAGGAGTAAGATTGATTGTAGCAGGTATACTCTCAGTGGTCACTACTAGGACCAGCCTCATAAGACGGGTTGTATACAATGCACAAACCATTACAATCAATTCTAGATTATTGCAGAGTATAGCCCAAGATGCCAGTATTGCCATAAAAGTGATTCAATACTCTCCTAACTCACTGTCAAAGTAGGTGATGGACCACTGAATAACAATAAACTATCTATCTACTGGCTAGCCAGGGAGGATTATGAGCTTTGACAACTACCAACTGCTGGTTTTATATAAACTCAAGTGGAAAGGTAGAGGAAAGAATTCAAGGCCTGTTAAACATAGCTAATATTTTAAGAGGCAGTCAAAAATAAATAACTGAAAACATTTGGACAATTATGAAAAACTGACTTCCCTCATTTACTTAGTTTCTCCCTCTTATTAGACCAATAGTGGCTATAATATTCATTTAAACAATATTTGGTCCTTGTGTGGTTAATCTGTTGGTTAAATGTGTATCTTCCAAAATACAACAATTCCAAAAGAAAATGATGGTGGCGCAAGCCTTGGAACCTATACCCATGAAACCTTTGGATGTGGCAACTGCCAGATTTTTAGAGGAAGAGTACAAACGCCGAAGGAAGATATTAACTAGGCAGGCCTTCTTTCTGAATCAACAAGAAGTAGCCAGACAGAACAAACACCCTATTTCCCTTAAAGATCTCAGGATCCTACTCTCTGAGTAGGGAAATGTTAGGGAGTGGAAACCTAACAGCCAGCCTAACTGCACCGCAACACCTGACACTTGAATCAGCAAGTCCAGGAAACTGAGCCCAGCACACCTTCTTGGAAATAGAGCAGTGCTAGACCATCAAAAATGGTGCAAAAATATGTGCTACCTAGATCCTGCCACTAATCAGAATTAAACTTAAGGAAATCGAGCCAATACCCCTATGTAAGGGAGAAAGAACAGAAGGCCAATGCCTGCTCCTCCTCTTCTGAGAAGTGTACCATTCATAGCTTAATAAACCTGGCTTGCTATTTGCTGCTTTTGTCTGTGTATGTTGCTTGCACCAACCTCAAGTGGGTCTTTCTTGACCTGCAGAAGTCAAATTATGGAACCCTAAAAACTTTTTAGTCTTTATTTACTTTAGCTTTGTTTGGTTACTGTAGATTTTTGACTATGTTCACAATTTCTCCAGTGTTAACTCTAACGGGTTTTTGTTTTAATTTTGTTCTGTGTTTTTGTGCAGGGATGTTCTTTGATGTTGTCTACTATGTTGTCCCACTAACTCCATTTTCTATATTTATGTTGTCCCACTAACTCCATTTTCTATATTTTAAAATAACAATTTGAATTGTAATTATTCGTCAACAAAGCCTTCTTTACTTTTTGTAAATTACAAAAAACACCAGCAGATAATTAACCAAAATTACTTTATAGGATATAAAACAGTTTTATAATAGAATTAAAGGACTTGATTTAGAAATATAATCATTTCTATAAATTTCTGATAATGAGAAAATCATAGCATTGGTTTAGAAGTGAAAGACAGAACAAATGAAAAAAATAAAGTATTCATTGAGATAGGCAGAAACCATTGCATAATTTTGAGAGAGTAGTAATAAAATTTGATAGCATAATGTTATCCCATAAACATATTAAAATCCTTCCATTAACTTAGATGAATTATATATATATATATTGTTTTTGTTAAGTACTATTGAATTTGTTTTGACTTGATAGCAGACCTGTTTAGGGTTTTCAAGGAGCGTCTGGTAGGTTTGAGCCACTGACATTGCAGTTGGTAGTCCAGTGCTTATGCTACAGCACAGCACCAGGACTAATAAGTATAACTCTGCTCTATCACTTATTAGGTTAACATAACACATACAAAGACAGCTGCAAGATTAGCAGAAAATAACATATTTTTCAAAGAGATTCTACATCTGTACAGTGTCATAAAAATTCCCTTTTAAGTATGACTAAGTAAGTATAGTCGTTTGAATTGCAAGATCGGTGGTTAAAGCTCACCAGCTGCTCCTTGGTAACCCTATACAGGGTCACTATGAGTCTGAATTGACTCAAATGCACTTAACAACAACAAAACCAACTACATTCTTAGTCACTGAAAATAATATTTATCTAAAATAATGGACTATGGGAAATTTAGAAAACTGGAATTTTACCAGTAAGAACAAAGCATCTTTTTTCTGGATGAATGATATTAGTCATGCTAACATGGAAGGGCAACTTTGGTTCAAGTCAAGTTACAGATAAGAGATTTCTGGGGAAAGCATTGATTTGTAACTATTTTAAATTTATTGATTACAATGCAAAATGAACCAGGTCCACTTCACAGTTGAGACTTTATGTAACATCCTATAAACAGAGTCCCTATGCAGAAATCATCAATCTCTTTGATATACCATGCAAGTAAAATTTTGCTAAAGGTAATACAGAAATGGCTACAATCATATATTGACAGAGAACTGCCAGAGGTTCAAACCGGATTCAGAAGAGGCGTGGAACAAGAGATACCATTGTTGATGTCCGATGAATCTTAGCTGAAAGTAGACACTACCAGAAAGATGTTTACTTGTGCTTTACTGACTACACAAAGACTTTTGATTGTGTGGATCATGACAAGCTATGGACAACATTGTCAAGTATGAGTATTCTGGATCACTTAATTGTGCTCATGAGGAATTTGTACCTGGACCAAGAGGCAGTTGTTCGAACAGAACATGGGAACACTGAATGTTTTAAATTTAAGAAAGGTATGCAACAAGGTTGTATTTTTTCACTGTACTTACTCAACCTGTTTGCTAAGCAAATAATCTGAAAAGCTGGGTTCTGAAGAAAAATGTGGCATCAGAATTGGAGGAAGATGCATTACCAATCTGTGATATACAAATAATACAACCTTGCTTGCTGAAAGTGAAAATCAAAGAGCACAGCCTTCGGTATGGATTACATCTCAGTATAAAGAAAACAAAAATCCTCACCACTGGACCAATAAACAACATTCTTATCAATGGAGAAAAGATTGAAGTTGTCAAGGATTTCATTCTTCTTGGATCAACTATCAACACTCACGGAAGCAGCAGTCAAGAGATCAAACGATGTATTGCATTGGGCAAATCTGCTACACAAGACCTTTTTAAAGTGTTGAAGAGCAAAGACGTCAGCTTGAGGACTAAGGTGTGACTGACTCAAGCCATGGTATTTTCAATAACCTCATATGCATGTGAAAGCTGGACAGTGAATAAGGAAGATCGTAGAAGAATTGATGCTTTTGAGTTATGTTGTTGGAGGAGAATATTGAAAGTATCATGGGCTGCCAAAAGAACCAATAGGTCCGTTTTGGAAGAAGTGCAGCCAGAGTGCTCCTCAGAGGCCAAGATGGCCAAACTTCATCTCACATACTTTGGGTATATTGTCAGGAGGGACCAGTCACTGGAGAAGGATATCATGTTTGGTAGGGTGAAGGGTCAGAGGAAAAGAGGAAGACCCTCAATGAGATGGACTACCCAAGTGGCAGCACCAATGGACTCAAGTGTGGCAATAGTAGTGAGGTTGGCCCAGGATTGGGCAGTGTTTAATTCTGCTGTGCATAAGGTCACTGTGGGTTGGTACCGACTCAATGGAGCCTAACAAGAACAACCTTCCCTTGTTGTTGTTATTAACTTCCTTCAAGTAGGTTTCAGCTCATAGTGACACTGCATAGGTTTTCTGAGGTTTTTAAATCTTTGAGGGAGCAGAAAGCCTCATTTTATTCCTGCAGAATGTCTGGCAGTTTTGGAGATTGTGGTTCACAGCCCAGTGCTTATTGTATGGAGTCACTGACCTCTTCATTTAGAGTCCATCAAATTAGTTCAGTTAAGTTCTATTTAAATGCTATTCTTCTTCCAAATCCTATAATAACTTTATATTTTCCTTTGTTTGGCATATGCTCCATGGTTCCTCTATGTTTAGTGTCTCTTTTTGCAATGTGAGTACATGTGAGCTCATTATATAGCAGGTATATATTTAATCATTGATTGTCTGGGCAATGGCCATTGATCAAAACAGTTCCAACATAGATAGATCATTTTTCTGATACATTTATACAGCAATGGGTTTGTAGAAATTTAAGAGAAAAATCACAAATATGAGTAATGTAATAACTTCTCCTATTATATTTTCTGTTGCATATAATCTCTTGCTTTAGAAATTCCTATGGTACATGGAACCTTTGTGATGATGTGGGTTAATGCGTTGGACTTCAAGGTCAGTGTGAATTGCAAGGTCAGCAGTTCAAACTCACCGGATGCTTCTTGGAAACCCTATGCAGGGTCTCTATATGAATCCAAACTGACTGTACGGTACTTAACAATAACAACAACAACAACTTTACATGCATCTTTATTAAGATTAATGAAATATGGGAAAATTGTGAATTCTGTGTGTGAACAAAAGCATTAAATTTTCACTTAAGTAAAGCAGATGAAACTCTATTGCTATTAATTGAGCTGCACACTTATTTGTCTGGTTGAGTAAAATGTCTCTGTGGTTATTTTTGAAGTTGTTACTATAAAATGATAATTTTTTTCAAAAATTTCCAGAAGGCAACTTTCATATCTTTGTTCTTCAGGCTATAGATTATGGGATTTAGAGTGGGTGGCACTACAGTGTAGAATACAGACACCAGAAGATCCCAAACTGAAGGTGAGTCTGATGCAGGTTTTAGGTAGGCTATAGACCCTGTAGTTAGGAAAACAGTAACAACTATAAGGTGAGGAATGCAAGTTGAGAAGGCTTTTGACCTACTTTCCATCGATGAAATTCTTAGAACTGTGGAGAAGATGTGGACATAGGAAACTATGATAGATATAAAACACACAAATCCTAAGGAAGTTGTGACAATTATGGCTCCAATCTCAGCAAGATACTTTTCTGAGCAGGACAGTTTGAGTAATGAAGGGATCTCACAGAAGAACTGATGGACAAAATTTGACCTACAAAATGGTAATGAGAAGGTCACAGATGTATTCAAGAACCCAGATACAGCTCCGCTGAGCCATGAAGCAACCACCATTTTCTCACAGGCTCCTTTTCTCATGATGACCTGATAATATAGAGGGTGGCAAATAGCCACATATCGGTCATAAGACATTACTGTGAGCAAGGCCAGCTCAGTACAAGCAAACAAAACAACAAAAAAGACCTGTGCCATACATCCCAGGAAAGATATGGAACTATTTTGGCTCAAAGAATGAATGACAGACTTGGGAAGTGTAACAGAGATGAAACAGAGATCTATCAATGACAGAGTTTTCAGAAAGAAGTACATGGGACTGTTGAGGTGTTGGTCCAACGTGGTGAGACTAATGATGAGGAGGTTGCCAAAGAGAGCTATCAAGTAGATAAGTAAGAACAGTATGGCATGGAGGACTTGATGATCCCTTAAATCTGAAAATCCCATGAGGATGAATTCATTCACCAAACTGGTTATATTAACCATGATATTCCTTTCCTTGAGGCTTGACAAAAGGAAACACATTGTGAGATTTTTTTTTTTTTTTTTTTTTTTTTACAAATGAGTATTTTATGGCTACATTGTTTGAAGTTACATGTTGAATTTCATAAAGGAAACTTGTTGAATGGACACAAATTAACTACTAGCACTCTTAGTTTTCTGATTTTTATTACGAATATTTCTAAACTGCCAAGATTTTAAATGACATGATGGGGTGGTGGTTAATCTTGACCTTGTCCATTTAAGATCTAAACATTTTCGAAGAACCTATGTGTTAAAACATCTAAATCACAAAATGTAGAAAAATATTTGAATGACAATTTTATCGATTCAATTTTATGATGTGTAGGAACCCTGGTAATGTAGTGGGTTCCATGTTGGGCTGCAAACCACAAAGTCAGCAGTTTAAATCCACCAGCAGCTCTGTATGGAAAGATAAGGCTGCATGCTCCTATAAAGATTTGTAGCCTCAGAAACTCTGTACAGGATCACTATGAGTCAGAACTGACTCAACAGCATACCACCAACACCACCATCGTTAATGATGGTACATGTCTAGAACAAGTCAGAAATTTTGTTGTTGTTAGGTGCTGTCCACTCATCCTCTATATGCAGAAGAGAACTAAACAATACCTAGTCTTGTGCTATCTTCATAATTGTTATGTTTCAGCCAATTGTATCTATCACTGTGTAAATTCATGTCATTTGGGGGGGGGGGTCTTCCTCTTTTTCAATGACACTTAGCTTTACTAAGTGTGATATTCTTCTTTAAGGACTGGTCCTTCTTTAGGAAACTAACAACATGTCCACAATATAAGAAATGACATGTTTTTCTGTATTCACTTCTGCATAGATTATGATAAGCTATGGAGAATATTGAGGAAAGTCAGTATTCTAGAACACTTAATTGTGCTCACGAGGAACCTGTACATAGATGATAAAGCAGCCCTTTTGAACAAAGGGACTCTATACGGTTTAAAATAAGAAAATGTGTGTGCCATGGTTGTATTCTTTGACCATATGTATTCAATCTGACTAAATATTCTGAAGAACTAGATTTTATGTAGAAGAATGTGGCACCAGGATTGGAGGAAGACTTATTAATGACCGCTTAACAACAACAACAAAAATATGCAGATGATACAACCTTGCTTGCCAAAATCAAAGAAGACTTAAAATACTCATTCATGAAAATCAAAGGCCATAGCCTTCAGTAGGGGTTATAACTCAGTGTAAAGAAAACAAAATCCTTATCACTGAACCAGTAATAATATCATTGCTTGGATCATTTATCAACACGCACGGAAGCAGCAGTCAAGAAATCTAACGGCATGTTGCATTTGGCAAATCTGCTGCAGAACACATTTTCAAAGTGCTCAAGAGAATAATGTCAGTTTGAGGAATAAGGTGTGCCTGCCCCAAGTCATGGTATATTCAATAACTTCATATGATTGTTAAAGTTGGACAATGAATAATGAAAACCATAGAAGAATTCATGCATTTCAGGTGTGGTATTGGAAACAAATATTAAATGTATCATGGGTGTCTAGGAGAACAAATAAATCTATATTGGAAGATGTACAGCCATGATGCTCCTTAGAAGCCAGAATGAAGAGGCTTTTTCACTCATACTTTTGAAATACCATCAGGAGGGACCTGTTCCTAGAAAAGAACATCATGCTAGGTAAAGAGGAGGGTCAAATAAAAAGAGGAAGACTCTCAACAAGATTGACTGGCACAGTTGTAGCAGCTATGGGCTCAAACTTAACATTATAAGTTAAAGGAAAGAATCCTGGTGTGGTGCTATAGGATAAGTGCTGGGTTGATAACTACAAGATCACTGGTTCAAATGTACCAGCTGCTTCTTGGAAACTCTATGTAATGTAATTATGAGTCTGAACTAACTGGACATCACTTAACAACAACAACAAAAAAGGTGAAGTAGTGGATGTGTGGCTGATTTTTTCTTTTTATATTGCTTTATATTTCTGTACTTTTTTACCATTTCAGCAACAGCAAAAAATCACTCTACTGTTTTGAATATAAAAAGTAAGTAATATACTATACAATACAATCTTTGAAAACCTTATCCTGTATAAGGTGAATAAGAACCAATCAGAGAAAGAAAACTCTTAATATTTTACATTAAATGAAGTGGTAGAAAATTGGTAAGACCTTTCAAAGTCAGAAAACCGAGCAGATTTGGAAAATTGAGGCAGTTCCATCATATTCTGTCTCTCAGGTTACACTATATATGTTTCATGAGCACTAATAAATAAAATATGTACACAAAAATGTGTGTAATTAAAGACATTGTGTATGATATTTGTATATAATTTGGATTGTACTTCTATATGTGACTCTTATACTGCTATTTTCTTCATTTTTCCTATGTTTAAATTTTGGAAAATATTAACACATGCTCATTATTAGAAGGCACATATGTGGAGGCAGCTAGAAAAATGAAAATAAGGAAATGTAAAATCCTGCTCTGGGATGTATTGACTCTGCTTCTATTCCTGTATAAGTGGAACAGTTTCTTCACTTACACTCTCTCTAAAATTAATTTTTCTCCTCAATGTCTTAATACAAGACTTATGTTTCTATGTGTGAACCTACCTTATAAGTTTATTATGTAGTTCAATTGATGCTTACAAATTGAAAGTATATTTTTAAATTATCATCTCATATACAAATATAAAGAAATGTTGACAAGCTTGATAGACTGGTCATAATTCTAGAAGATGCATACATTTAGCAAATTTTGAAAAGTCAATCATATCCTTAGTAATTAGTTATATTACAGACGGCATTGTATGGTAAAAATGTGATTTAAAGACTCTTTTGTCCCATAAAGTATTTTATTCTTCTAAGAACATGTCATGTACCCGTAGTTTGCATATGTGTTAATCCATGTATGTGCACTGGTATGCATGTTGGTTATATGTGTGAGTATGTAACCAAAGTAGCCAAAATCTTAAAAAATATTTTGTTTATGATGTTCCATGAAACTTTGTGATAATTTAGTACAACATATTCAATCTTGGGTAAGAAAGATAAAATCCATTGATATTAGTGACTTGTATCCATGATTACAGAAAGGAAGGGTAAAATAGATACAGTGCTATATGCATACAAATCATGTATTTTTTTAATGTTATGAGATTTTGCTGTTATTAAATTAAGAGTCTGGGATAGCTTTTAAAAGATTGTTAGTAACTGATGGGAATAAAATGTAAGCTTTTTTACTGAAGAAAGTAAATACCGAACTAGACCTTCAATAATAAAACACCAACAGAAATGCTTATGAAGAACAATTACAAGATTATGTAGATTAGGAGTTTCATGAGATTAGAAAACAGTGAATATCTAATTTACACCTTGAAATGTAATTAGCCAAGCAAAACTAAAGTCCATTTCAATTCTGAATAAATTTAGAAGAAATAATTCAGTGATAGTTCAAACTGGTGACCTACTCAGGTGTGCACTATAGTGTTTGAGCGTGCCAAGAGCAAATAGGATTTAAAGATACATTATCTTTCAAATTCAATAAGACCTAGTGATTTCTATTAAAAAAATGGGGTGTTCCTCCCAACACTTTAAATCACCTCCCCTTTTCATCTGTCTCATTCTACTCTCTTCAAGAAGCCAAATGAAGAACTCTATGTAAAGAATACAGTAGCCTGAGAGTCACTGTATTGCTAGAAGAAAAGGAAAGCTACACCCCACCCATTCCCAAATACTCAGCATTTGGGGAGGAACAAATTTTCGCTCTACAATGGCTTATGGGGAAACACATTTAGAAATAACAAAAACAAAACAAAAACCTTACATTTTGTCCATATTACTAACTAAAGAAGGACTTTGTTATACTTTCTAATCTTTATGATAAACATAAAGAAAATAATGCATATGCTAGAGAATAATGTGCACAAAAGTATTTTAAAACGTTCAACACAAAATATAAAAAGTGAAACAAACTATGAAATATGTGTAAGAAGCATTCCACTTCAGAAAAGATCATGAGTACAAAAGCATTCACTTACCTCTTGGGTATACTTTTTTTGGTCTTAGCTAAAAATCTTTAATTATTGCTTGACCTGAAACTTCAGCCTTTCTAAATATGACTAAGAAGTTTTATTTTTGGTTTGAGTTCCCATAAACTTTTTAAAAAATCTCCTTCTATTGAGAAGTATGATGAGCAACAAAAGGGGTATGCAGAGTGTGGTGAGACCTGTTCATAGACTCTAATTCCTTCCTACAAGCAGACCAAATACCTCATTGACTATGACCTGAGCATCTCAGCCTTAATATAGAATTTCCAGAAATTCAATACCAACAAACAAGGCTTGCAGCATTTTACTGAGGAATGGCACCCAAATGCATTTCTGAAGTAAAAGAAGAAAAAATCTTAAAAGATATTAAACACATAGGTTATTCTTACCCAACCCAGGAGATTTGTACCTAATTTACTCTCTAGACACAAGCATTACTTGAACCAAATTTGTGGAGGCAAAACTATGACTTATAAATTAGATTTGTCTCTTGTTGCAAGAGAGCTCTCTAGGGATCACTTTTATTCTTGCATTATTACATAGAAACATAAAGGTTATGAAAATAATGGAGGAGTAAAATGTAGAATCTTTTCTTGCTTCCTTTAAATCAGTTTTATTTAATTATAATATAAATTTTAAAATTGTGTATCCTTAAAATAGTCTATATGAATAATTCAAAACAATTCTAATTCTTTTTTGAAGTTTTTATTGTGAATTGAGTGATAGTTTACATGGGAGGACATTGGCTTTATACCATCATTTCATTGTAATGATTACAATCTCCTCTGTGCATCATCATTCAACAGTATTTGCTTCTACTCCTTCTTTATGTGTGTGTGTGTG